ATGTGTATTTTTTAAAACTTGACTGTACTTGACTATAAAAAGCTATTGAACATTTCATTAAACACACTGTGACCTTTTCTAACAACATACCCCTATAATGGGCATGAAACCAAATCCACCGAAAAACGAACATTTGTGTTATTGGACTTTTGACTCCAAACTTTTTAGCTGCCAGAATTGTTGACAGCTTCGTAATATATTATAGAATTTTTGGGGAAAATAAATTATACATGGACAAAACTGTCAAAACTGTCTTCATAGTCTCTTCTTAGGGTGAAACACTGAATGAAAAACAGTGACCTGTGTTGTTCACAGAGAGTAGTTTGCCTCACCAACGCTTATCTTCAAAGTGGGGCAATGAACTTTGTATTGGGACAGAGTTCACAGTAAACAGGAGCATGTAGAAGAAAAAATATGCCTTTTGAAGTTTTGCCGATCTTGTTTTTTATCCTTCAGTGCATTTGAGTCACTGTGTTTTGAGAAGTGCAGTCAGGCAATGTCACAGCAATGCAAAAGCATTAGCTCATGAATATTAATTAGGTTAAGTTGCGTACCATCATGGTCATTTTCCATTGTGAGGCAATATCAGAAACTTCATGCTCATGACATAATTGAACAAGTTTTGATAAGCAGTCATGTGATGTTTTTGTTATTGGTCTGAAGGTCAAGCTTTAGCAGAGCATGAATGTCAACAAACAAAATGAAGTGAAATAATTGTAACAATAATTTAAATTACATCCAAAATAGCTGTTTTTCTGCATAAAATATGTTTAAACGGTGTATTTTGGCTGCCATCATTCTTTTTGATCAATTCAAAAGCTCAAACGTGATTTATTTGATAACATCATACTTGCATCTGTCTCAGTATTTTGTGGGTCAGTGGATAAATGCTTGGATCAAATGAGCGACAGAAAAATGGATGTGCACGTCTGTGAGAGAGAACAGCGCAGCTTTATAAAATCCACTGCTGATGATAACAGTAGCAAACAATAAAAAATACAAATTTCAATACAGCACCCATTATAGTACATACTAAAAAAATATATTGAAGACTCTATATTACATACTGCATTTTCCCCCATTTAAACAGGAAAAAAAAAGCCTTCATAAAGTGCTCTGAACATATTAAAAAATAACTTCAATCTCTAAAGCTGCAGTCTTCCCCAAAATCAAGACCCTTTAATTATAACAAATCTAAGTGTAAATCCATTGTTTGAATTTAATCACTTGAACTGATACACAGCCTCTCCTCTCAAATTAACATGCTTGCTAGCTAATTATTAATACTTCCCTAGTTGGCTAGTCACTCATCATGGGGTCAATAACCCATGACAGTGGTATTTATTTATGCTTGGCATTTCAGTGGCTCGCACTGACAGATGCATCTGTTGGCACGTCTTTCTTATGCAGAGACAATTCCCGCGGTGTTACTGTAAGCAGGGGATCACGATTCTACATGTGAGTGGATTGAAGCTAAAGGACAGCGTTAGGGTTGAGTGGAGTCTGGGAACTTTATGAAGAGGCTGTTAGGGCAGTGGGGTTGAAGGAAGAACTGGTGAAGGGAAGTGTCTGGTCGAGTTCTTCCTGTACAGTCATTAAAAGGGATAGGTCACCCAGAAATAAAACTTATGTCATTATTTACTCACCCATCTGTCGTTCCAGACCTGTGTGCTGTCAGTTTTCCATGGAAAGCAAAAGGAGAATTGTTGAAGAATATTAACAAAGCTCTTTTTCTATGTTGTGTAGTTTCTATGTCATTATAAATTATGTCGTTATAATTTTTTTTTTAAAAAAACAACAACAGTAAAACTAGTGAAATATTACTGAATATTGGTGCAAATTTAATATAATAGTTTTCTATTTTAATATATTTTAAATGTACGCACCATCTGTAATTTATTCCTGTGATGCAAAGCTGAATTTCCAGCATCATTACCCTAGTATTCAGTGTCACATGATTAAGAAATCATTTTAATATGCTTATTTGCTATAAGAAACTTATTATCGGTGTTAAAAACAGTTGTGCTGCTACATATTTTGTAGTAACTGTGATGCATTTTGTTTCAGGATAAATACGAAGCAGTGTTATTTTAGTATCATTGTTTTTATTAACAGTTTAATTGTTTTGATTTATTTCTTTTTCATTTTAATTTTAGTTAATTTTGTGTTGTCTTGTTTTAAATAGTGATATTTTATAGTTTTATAGTCTATTTCGTTTTGTATTCATTTTTATTTTAGTTTTTTATTTTAGTACATAAAGTTAAACCTAATGGAATTGAAAAAATATTTATTTGGAAACTAACTTAAAATATATATTTTTTTTTTCATTTTTTATTTTATTTTGGTTAACATTTATTTTATTTCAATTAACTTTTTAAAATGATTTTAGTTTTAGCTTCAGTTAACTATAATAACCTGATAGAAAGTCCAGATTAACAACATTTTGACATTTAAATATTTTTAGAAATGTCTTTACTGTCCCTTTTGATCACATTTTTTGTCTTCAATAAATAAAAGTATTAATTTCTTTAAGAAAAAAATCAATCAATAAATACAGAGTTCTGGCATGAAACTCTAGATGGCGCAGTCCGATAGGTCTAGCTCAATCTAACCTGGCGACATCGTTGTCACATGGCACAGCTGATTGGTTCTCTACTGCTTAATATTCAAATACCTGGCTTTTGTTTGCTGTAGCAGTTGGCAGCGCACTTCAGAAACCCTCCACCTTCCCCAGCTCCACCTGTATAGATCTGCTACGGGGTGATTCATGTATGCTATATGGGGGTTATTCATATGTGCTATATGTGCAGCAGTATTTCTTACATGCTCACAGCAGCATGTTGTGGATGTATTGAAGGTAGCAAGTCTCGGTACTTGCTCTGCCGCAGCAGCAGCAGCAGCGTAGCAGATCTATTCCGCCAAGACCAAATACATTAACATCGTCATGTACATTACCATGCCAATCCCTCCGAGAGTTGTCATGACAGAAATAAATAAATACTTACAGACCCCAAATGTTTTAACATTTGTTATATGTACACCCACAAAGGCTATTTGATATTCCAAACCCATTATATATTTTTAAATGAACTTTAAAGGCTCCTGTCGTTTAGCTTTTGAGCAGAAAAAGAGCACACAACACTGTATTTAGCTTCAGTGTCCTGTTGTGCTACTTGAACAACCTTTGAAGAAACAATACTGCTAATTGGGTTTCAACATTCCATTGTGACTGAGCGTACATTGCAATTGCTCTGTGTGAGGTGTTGAGTGTAATGATGGAGCTCCCAGCAATTTTTCACACACAAAAATAAATCACACAGCAGAGGGGAGCAGATTTCCACAGACGTAGTACAGCAGTGGATCTCATTCATGGTGTGTTTGTCGCATGATGACTTTGTGATGGTGCATGTTTCCATATCCTAATCTTTAGGATGAAGAACATGATACTTGTATGCAGAAGACGTTATAGAATAATACATGTGCCGTCACATTGTATAAATGGCGAATGTGTTACAGCACTGCCTGCATTTTCTTTAGGTCCCTACATTGAGAGTTTCTTTGTACAGTATGTCATTCATATTATCATATTTTAAAATAAAGACAAATCAGTTTTGTTAAAGCCGTGTCTAAATGTCTAAGTGTGCCACAACAACGACTATATCTCAGCAATTCTAAAGTTTGAGTCAAAAGTCTAATTACACAAGTATGTTTTCTCTAGCTGTGGTTCTGTAATTTCAGTTAATTTTTTTTTCTGTAAAAAATAAAGTTTTTTTGTGAATTTAGTCCTCCATGTTAGTCTAATATCATAGATAGATAGATAGATAGATAGATAGATAGATCCACACTGACATTTAGATGTCAACTCTATCAATTTATAAACATGGAGTTCTCAGGACAAGGGTATTTTTCATAAATGTCAGCTGGTCACATTTTGTATGTTTTAATTTTATACAAAGTAATATTTACAGTAACAGTTTCTGTTGGCCAAAAAGTTTTTTTTTTTTTTAAGCTTTTACATGTATGCTCTTTCATGAACTGTATTCGGCTATGTTTCATTGTTTATGCTGTTAAAATGTTGCTGGAAAACATATACTGTTTAATAGCAGGTTCCACTGTGACAACTTGCCCTTATAATTTGACCTCATGTACTGTTGTTGGGGCACTTTGTCTCAAAAGGTTAATGTGTCTTCAGTGTATCTTTTTCTTGTGAAGCAGATAAGTTAAAATAATCAGAAAGTAAAATAATGAGGAGTAAAAAGCCAGACATCTAACCCCAGTCTTCTCTATACAGCTTAAAGTGGAAATGAAGCAGTCAGTCAAGTTTACATTATTTAGTAAAGTGATTTCCACTTTGATTAAAAAATATATAACAAACATGATTAATGTAACCATTTAAAGAAAAAAGGAAAAAAGGTTGTTTTGTTATAGCTTTTAGAGCAAGGGCGCCGCCATCTAGACGGACCCCATCCCGGCGTACTCTCTCCAGAACTCCCGGGAGCAGAGCGATCGGGGGAAAAGCGTACAGACGAAGCCTCGGCCACGTCTGCACCATGGCATCCAGCCCCCGTGGAGCTGGATGCGTGAGGGAGAACCAGAGCGGACAGTGTGTCGTTTCCTGCTACGCAAATAGATCCACTTCCGCCTGGCCAAATTCCCTCCAAATGAGCTCCACCACCTCGGGGTGGAGCCTCCATCCCCCGGGCCTCAGCCCCTGTCTCGACAGGATATCTGCCCCCTGATTTAGATACCCAGGGATGTAAACTGCTCTTAGAGAGAGGAGCTTCCCCTGAGCCCACAGAAGGATCTGGCGCGCCAGCTTGTACAAGGGGTCGAACGCAGACCCCCCTGCCAATTGATGTAGGAAACCACCGATGTGTTGTCTGTGTGGACAAGCACATGATGCCCCCTTAGGTCTGGAAGGAAGTGTGTCAGAGCTCGAAACACGGCCAGCATCTCCAGGCAGTTGATGTGCCAAAAGAGATGATGGCCTCCCCACAGACCCTGGGCAGAGCGGCCATGACGGCTGGGGCTGCTCCCGCTCAGCAGCCCCATGGGCCTGGGAGCGACGAGGGAGGAACCGTTGAAACGCCGCCGCTTGCTTTCTCGCCTCCTGAAACCTCTCGACAACAGTGTTAACTGCGTCACCGAAAAGGCCAGACGGCGAAAGCGGGGCGTCTAGGAGGAAGAATCTGTCCTTATCTTGCATATCGGACAGATTCAACCACAGATGCCGCTCCGTGGTCACCATTGCTGCCATTGACCGGCCGATAGCTCTGGCCGTTTCTTTGGTGGCCCGGAGGGACAAATCTTTGGCCCGACGCAGTTCAGCTACCACGTCGGATTCCCCCTCCTCCCTGTCATCCAGGTCCTTGAGCAGGTCAGCCTGGTACGCTTGTAACACCGCCATGGTGTGCAAGCATGCCCCCGCCTGACCTGCAAAGCTAATTGTATTCGCAGGTGAACATAAAATATGATATATACAACTGGTGAACCAGTCAATGTAATGTATATGTCTTAATGGTCTGACATAACAATAAAATGCGACATGAATGATGAAGCGTTGTCTGGTTACATCACCTTGCGCCTGGCATTATGAAAACAATGTTTGGGATACTACGATCAAAACTTAGCATATAGACAGTTTGATGTTGAATATTCATCCAAATTATGGTGAAAACCAAATTATTTGTGTGTTAAAATAACATTTGTGTGTTCAAAATGTAAAGAAATGCTTCTATTACTTAAGGAGCGAACCAACCCCGTGACCTCACACGCGGTGGTACTGCAAGATGGCGGCGCCCCTGCTCTAAAAGCTATAACAAAATATCCTTTTTTCTTTAAAATGGTTACATTAATCATGTTTGTTATATATTTTTTAATCAAAGTGGAAATCACTTTACTAAATAATGTTAACTTAACTGACTGCTTCACTTCCACTTTAAAGCTGTCCCTGCAGCCTCTATGAGGATGGAGGTAATTGAATGTGAGAGCCAGAGTTTCGTTAAGCAAACATAACATGATAAGAAAAGAACTGCTTTGCAGAAGCTGGTTTGCGCTCTGCCGGATGCGCTTTTATACTTTCTGGTGCTTACGTCACCCCGCTCGTGACGTCTCGCTGCTCCATTGGACTGATTTGACACGTGCTTCAGAACGCGGTCACGCAAGGGCGTTCCCAAAGCGATTCTCGACGCATCTCGAGTTCCTGAAGGGAAGTGCAATTGCCTATGCATTTGAGCTCGCCCCTGCTCTAAAAGCTATAACAAAATATCCTTTTTTCTTTAAAATGGTTACATTAATCATGTTTGTTATATATTTTTTAATCAAAGTGGAAATCACTTTACTAAATAATGTTAACTTAACTGACTGCTTCACTTCCACTTTAAAGTAGCTAAACATGTTATTAGTATTTGTTGCCATATACTAGCTGAAGTAATATAAATAAAGATAATGTCACATTCAGCAAATTGAACGTTACTGTCTTACAGTCTCACTCTATTGACCGTAATTAACGCTGTCATTTAGTTAATTGTATAATGCAGTCAGCAGTGGGCACTGTGCTGAGTGTTGACGTCAGGCTGATGATGCAGACACGCGCTCCGCAGCTTCACTTTGAGCGCTTCATTGTGTTCGTGCACTGGAACTCATGCGTGTCACTCACCGCAGACCAGTCAGAGCAGATTGATATTCTCCGAAGGATTCATCTCGCCTCAATCCATTCAGGATTGGATTACGTGTTAAATCCTGCACCGGGATTCGGTTCTGTCCCTTTGAAGATGCCCGCTTGTGGATCGCAGATTGGGGACTTTCGCAGAATTAAACGAGCTAAAGGTAAAACACTTTTGATTTGTTTCTCAATTGTGACTTTCGAGACAAGTTTAAGTTTT